AATTAAATCAGCTTCTCTTGGGGTGGGCACAGGCACCGCTAGTTTTATAACTTCTCCAAGTGATGTAGGTCCTGATGTAGGCCCTTGTTGGCCATAGTGTAAGGACATTGGGTATTGTTCTGAGTGTGAGGGGAAGTGGATGATGCCTGTTAAGCAGAGTGATATAATCCGTCTTAAGCCTTAAAAGCCCCACTCTGGCTGCTGTGTGAAGAACACTCTATAGCAGGACAGACTGGGTGCAGGAGATCAGGTGAGAGGTGAGGATAGCTTAGAACAGGAGCCTTCTGTAAGTGGCAGAGAGAAATGGATCTATCTGGGATATATTTGGAAGGAAGGCAATTTGCTTATGAATTGGATGTGAGGTATGAGAGAAAGAAAGAAGTCATGGATGCGAGTATAATTTTTTTTTGGTTTGGTTTTGGTTTTGGTCAGAGCAACAGAATAAAGGTAATGCTAATCACTAGGGCCAAGAGAATGCGGTCAACTGGCCAGGACTCAGACACATGCCCACTCCTGGAGCAAGGGTGAAGTCAGTCTTGGCTAAAACACATCTATTGAGAGCAGAAGAGAGTATTCACCAGAGTAAAAATCAGGGCACACCACCAACAGCAGTGGGGAGAGCTGCTGGGCGAACCAAGAATGACAGCTCACTGGAGGTCTGTTGGTTGTATTCTAGAGGACACACTGGGAATAAAATAAACTTCAAGAAAAAAAAATTAGGTCTTCCTCTATGATAAGGTCTTCTTCCCAAATGATTCAGTCCCATTAGGTGGGGCCAAGGGGGCAGCCATGGAGGACCAGAGCAGAGCGTTTGTCCCCAGGCAGGGCTAGGAAGGCATTCAGGCAAGGACGCCGCAGTGACAGCCAGGCATCATATGTCGGCGTCTGGGTGGGGTGAGAAAGTCAACACGTAGGAGGACTGGCCTGTGGGGAATATCAGAGCCTAAGCAGGGTGAGGAGGGTCTGCACAGGAGAATCACCCTGTGCAGAGCATCTAAATCCATGCAGGAGGTGGCCCAACGCAGGGGGGCACTGGGATCTGAGTGGGGTGAGGAAGACATCAGTGAGGGGGCAGAGGCTGTGTTGTGAAGTGATGGTTTTCAAGATACATGGATGTATATACATTTATGTCCCAGCTCTGTCCACGGAGAAACCCAGGAGCAGCTGAAACCCAGTAGCAATGAGCACACCTATTACCCAAATTTTGGCTCCTGAATATCATTCTCTGTCAAAAGGAAGAATGATGACTGATTTCAGGGCTAGGGCAGAGAAAGTACAGAACATATAGCCAAAAGTGAGGTGGTGCTAAAAAAATAAATAATGGGGACAGCAAAAGGACATAGAAGTCAGCTTGAATGCATTGGCCAAATTGGGGATATTTTAAGTATTAAAATAAATAATGATAGTGATGGACTAAAACAGGACACCATGAGTCCAAAGTGACAAAATAAGTTAATAAATCGACAGTTTGAGGAAGAATATGACGTTGACAGAAGTTACAAAGCGCCTGCCTACAAAATACTAATTACAAAGAGGGAAAGAGGTAAATGTTCAGTGAAGAAGCCCAGTAGGTAGCACTTAAGTCAGGTGGTCAAAGGGAACATCATGGGTGATGAGACAAATGGAAATCAAGCCCTGCCACATGACGCAGTAAGAGCATAGCATCACTTCTCTGACATTCCCACCAAAAATGCGTAACTTAAGCCTAATCCTGAGAAAACACCAGACAAACCCAACTGAGGGACTTCTCAAAATAACTGGCCTGTAATCTTCAAAAGTGTCAAGGTCATGGAGGTCTAGGAAAGACTGAGGAACTGTTCTAGGTGAAGGAGACTGAAAAGACATAACAGAGAAGCACATGGTGTGGTTCTGAGCTGGATCCTTTGGCTTAGAAGGACATCACTAGGACATCTGGAAAATCTGAATGGGTTCTGAAGATTATGTAGTAGCAATCTATCAGCGTTGACTTCCTGACTTTGATACTTGCATCGTGCTGCGTAGGAGAATGTGTTTATTTGTAAAGATACACAGTACATTATTTAGGGATGATGAGACATCATGTTGGCAACTTATTCTCAAATGATTCAGAAAAAAAATTGCTTTGTACTGAACTTGCCTTTTTTTCTGTCAGTTTGATGTTGTTAAAAAAATTTTTTAAAGACAGAAAATTTAGGGTAGAGATTATTTTGAGTCTACCAGATAGAATTTGAACTAAGAGAGGAGAATGCAATTACAGAGCTCACTGATACCATTCAGTTGGGGACCCTATACAGAGGTTTTTTGGGTTTTTTTTAAATCATTCATTTGCTCCAAATAAAGCAATCTTATTAATAATGTTTTAAGGCTTTCTTCAACTATTATAATAGATTTTTCTGATACTGAATGTGGATAAATTTATTTAAATATCATCTCTGTTTGAAAATCTTGACATTGGACTGTAGACTGAAAGGGATCTGGGGATTGACTAGAGCTTCTTGTTGGAGGACTTTAAAGTACCTTTAGCACGAGTTTATACCACCTCTACCAAAACCTACGCTGAGGTAAAGCTTTGCTCCAGGGAAAGTGTTTGACCATATCAGTAATAAAGAATAGCTGATTATTGTTATTCACCCTTTCCAACAACAAATCCAATATCCAAAGCTTACACATTCTTTGAATTAAAATTAATTTAAATATAAAGCAGTCGTCTGTAGGAGACACAGCAGGGCCACCACATCGTACTTCTCAGGTCTTTACAACATGGTTTACTGAATATTTTAAGCCCACTGTTGACACCTACTTCTTGGGGCGGGGGAAACAAAGATTCTTTTCAAAATATTACTGCTCATTGAAAATGCACCTGGTCATCCAAGACCTCTGATACAAGATGTACAACAGGATGAACATTGTTTTCACACCTGCTAAACCAACATCCATTCTGCAGCCCATGGATCAAGGAGTAATTTAGACTTTTAACTCTTATTATTTAAGGAATACATTTCGTAAGGTTACAGCTGCCATACGTAGTGATTCCTCTGATGGATCTGGGCCAAGTAAAATGAAGACCTTCCAGAAGGGATTCACATTCTAGATGCCATTAAGAATGTCTGCGATTCATGGGAAGAGGCCAGAATATCAACACTGACAGGAGTTTGGAAGTTGATTCCAACGCTCATGGATGACTTTGAGGGGTTCAAACCTTCAGTGGAGGAAGGAAACGCAGACGTGGTGGAAACAGCAAAAGAACTAGAATTAGAAGTGGAGCCTGAAGATATGACCAAATTGCTGCAGTCTCATGAGAAAACTTCAAAGGATGAGGAGTTGCTTCTTATGCATGAACAAAGAAAGTGGCTTCTTGGGATGGAATCTACTCCTAGTGAAGATGCCGTGAGGACTGTTGAAATGACAACAAAGGATTTAGGAGGTTACATTAACTTTAGTTGATAAAGCCGTAGCAGGGCTTCAAAGGACTGACTCCAATTTTGGACGAAGTTCTCCTGAGGGTAAAGTGCTATCAAACAGCATTGCATGCTGCAGAGAATTCATTTGTGAAAGGAAGAGGCAATCGATGTGGCAAACTTCATTGCCATCTTATTTTAAGAAATTGCCACAGCCACCCCAGCCTTCAGCAGCCACCACCCTGATCAGTCAGCAGCCACCAACACTGAGGCAAATCCTCCGTCAGCCAAAAGATTATGACTCAGTAAAGGATCTGATGGTGGTCAGCATTTTTTGTCAATAAAGTATTTTTAATTAATATATGTACTTTTTTTAGATGTAATGCGATTGCACACTTAATAACTCATAGTACAGTATAAACATAACTTTTATATGCACTGGGAAACCAAAACATTACTGTGACTAGCTTTATTGTGACATTTGCTTTATTGCAGTGGCCTGGAATTGAACTTGAAATATCTCTGAGATTTGCCTATGTTACTGTAGTAATAGTAACAAATAGTAATTAATTATAATTTACTGCAACACTGAAAGAAATATAATTTTATATTGTTACCAAACTATTAAAAATGAACATATCAGTTACATTAAGATACATTAAGATACATATTATTAGGTAATCACATGCATATACCTCTCCACCTTCAATGTTTTATATGTGTGTGTACATATATATATTATGGATACACACACAAACAGCAGCAGGTGCACACACAGACGCACATGCATACACATCAAATCTTTTGTATGAACAATAAATCATGATCAATATCAGTTATTTCAGATAGGACTCTGGGAAGTATCAAGGAAAAGCTGTTTTTAAATAGTAAATGCACAGGCAAATGAGTATAGATTTACTAAAAGGACTAAGTCTGTATAGTATCATTATTCCTGTATATAAGATAAACATTGTTTTAAAACTTAAATATTTCAAAGATATGTATGGGGCGGAAAACATTCGTCCTAAAATAACCAGCTAATTGGCATTATAAACCTACTGTAGGTATAAAGGTCATTCATTTTAAACTATGAATTCCTAAAGAGACCTCTTTATGATTAATGAATTTTGAAAGCTTGAAATGAACGTTTTCTAGAGTTAGCATATCCTGGAGTCAATTTCTATCTCTGCTGCTTAATCTTTTCTATTTCGTCGTCTGTAATCTGTTTCTTTAACTAGGTCATAACTGCTTATCAATCATTATAAAAGCTTCATTATCTTAAGTACTCAGGACCATCGTTATTTTAATCTAATATATAGAATGACAGGAACACAGTTTGTAACATTCAGTACTTATATCAGCAAGGAAGGTGCTACTTAGAAGAGAAAACCACTAAAATCATGATTGACTTTAAGATAAACACAGTAATTCATTTCTAATTTTAAACAAAGCAAAAAGCCTATATTCAAAGAGTAAATTTTATATTGGGTTTGAGAAATTTGATTCTACAGAAACAAAATGAGAGTACTTCAGCACTTTTCCATGACCTTTTACTTTTGATACTATTAAATATCAAATAATCAAATAATTGCTGAAAATCACTGGTTTTGTCTCTGAATGTGTACCCATCCCTTATCTGGAAAGCAGGGATATTACTACCTGCCTACACTTTCTTCTTAGGGAGATTTAAGGGGAAAAAAAGTCAAATTTCTAAGAAAAAGGTGGCTTTGTAATTTTAATGTTTCTATTCTTTTTATTTTAACAGTTATTGCAGCTGAACTAGTAAATGACAAAATAACTGAATATAAGTTTGAATACATGGAATGTACATCCAAAGTGGGAGCCTCTGACTAGAGAATTTATGGAAGTGAAATGGATCAACAGAACTACTGGGAGAACTATTAAACTCATTTTCTCATAGGAAAAAACTATTTGTGTGGTATATACATTTAAAGCATGCATATTTGAATTTTTCTTCCACTCATCTGATTTTTCATTAAAAAATTAAACTTAAAATTTTTGAAAGACTCAACCAATTTTCTGAACCTGAGAGGGTAGTTTTAATCATTCCCTCATATATATTTGCAAGAAGTCATTATATTTGTAAAGTGCTAGAAAATCATGGCTGAAAAAGACAGTGAAACTCTCAAGGTCTGGGTATAGGTTATAAAGTAGGGGGAGAAAGTCTCTTTCTGAACGTCTTGGCTTTATAACCTTTCCCACTAAAGCTTGACAGAAAACCCTAGAATTTAGAATCACTTAAGATTATAAAATTTAAAAATAATGCTAAATTTCAAAAAATTCAAGTTCATGGTCACCAGGCCCTTTCACTGAAAACAGTTGCTTCATCACTTTTGCTTCTGGGAGAAATGCTTGGCACGCAGTGAACAGAAATTAAAACATGAGACAGCAGAAAGTCTCAACACAGTGCAGTCTAAAAGGTTTGTGAGCACCCTTTATATAATAAATAATGGAGTAGCTGGAAAACTGCCTTTAAAGGAGAAGCTTCTGGCCAAAACTGAAGACTCGCCAATGCATCTGAGAAGGGTAGTGTAAAGTAAAACCAAGAGATGTTCAAGGCAAGTTTCTTAGGTAAAGCTCCACAAGGAAGTGTGGAATAAACAAATCTCATTGAAACAAATTATGCCAAATAAAAATGTACACTGTATTTCTTAAGCAAGGTGGAGGTGGAGGGGTGGGGGGTGGGGGTGTAGGGAGTTACCACTTGGCTAAAGGCAGTCCTAAAATTCTAAGATGAAATTGCTGGTCTGTGAGAGCTAAAGAGAAGTGTAGAGAACAAAGAACAATTACCTTTCTTTCAGGCCTGTTTTGAATTTTTCTGCCACAAGTGGGTTTTAGAAGGTCCTTCTTGGATATCATCAGGAAATTTTTCACACGCTCTCAATATTTTGTGATTGACAATTATTATATATCAAGAGCAGAAACAAGTCCTTTCTAATCATGCAAAAAATGGAGATTTTGGATTGAAATTCTTGGATTCTCTGTAGAGTAGGGATGAAGTCATTTTTAAAGCACTCTGCACAAAAGTTTTTGCTCAGATAAGTGTTATGCTAAGAGGGGTTAGCAAAGGATATACAGAAGTCACAACCAACAGGGAGCAGAGGTCAAGGTGGGCTTCCAGGTGGTTAAGAAGCAGGGCCAGGCCCTCCTAAAAAAGCCTTAGAAGCATGAATTGGAGGATAGAGAGAACAACCACCAAGGAGAATTAGACTGTCTCTGGAAGGATGAATGATTAGCAAATCAGAAAGTGTTTCCTGGTTAGAAAAAAAATGGGGGCATCTCAACAAAGGAAATGCCAGTTGAAGTATCTTATTCTGCAAATTCTGCAATCCCTTGGAAGGGGACAACTTCCTTTGGTTCTATAAATTTTAAATCATGAAATAACACAAATTAATTTATAGTTGCCCACCTAGAACTCCCAAATTTTGTTTGCATTAGAATTGCAATGTTGAAACTAATTTTTTCCACCCCAGTAAATCTTCAAATTTTGGCCAACTAGGTCTTGAGATATACCACATTCAGCTAAGCAAATATCTTATGAAAACTGATTGCATCTTAATTCTTAGATGAAGGTCAGGGATAAAGTTCTTCAAACAAATTAATGTGAAGAGCTGGACCAAAACAATTTTTAAAATTAGGTAATAGCTTTGGAAATACTTTCTCTTCTCCTCCCCTCCCCTCTAAAGCCCCCCTCTAAAAAGCAGTAATCTTTGCTTAATTTAGGGATATAAAGTTAGGAAATAGTGTTAAAATACTAATATATTATAGCCTTGTATTAACTATTTAAGAAGGGTGAAAAACTTTTTCATGAATCTTTGAGTGAGAACCTTTTTTGTCAATTTCTAACATAAGTGATATCCCTCAGTGAACATGTATTTTCAAAAGAAAACAAGTCATACCAAAGTAATACTTTCCTAAATGTTATCTGATACATTTTTATAGCAAATTGAAAATTCTGAGTAAAGTGAAGGTATGTTTAACAACAAAATTAATACAGCTTATATGTCCACCTTACAGGTAGGTGTCTTGGTTTAAAGGCAGCAGTTAATTTGCATTCTGCAACCAGTCTGTAAATCCAATTATTTTTACTGGACTTTTATAGTGATAGCATCTCATAAAGCCAAGTGCCCTGTGCTAAAAATGTCTTTTTTTTGGCATCTGGCTATGCAAAAGCTTCTGAGATACTTTCTTCAAATTAGTATAATGCAATTTTTCACTTTTGCAGAAAAATATGAAGCTTTACCAAACACTTATTCTTACTGAACAAAAGCTAGATTACTACCAACTGTTTCTTTAATTTTGGTCTAAAAGAATTGTTTAAAGTTTAGACATAGCTGATGTTTTTTAATTGCACACTTGTGGAAGATAGACAAGTAAAGAACACTAGACAATTTCAAAAGACAAATCTGAGTATCAGATATCATTATCCTTAGTATATTTAATATTCAGAATAAAGTCCATAGAAGTGAAACTAACAAAATTTTCAAAGAATTCATACATGGTAGAGTCTTAGGACAAGGAACTTCTAAATGAAAGAAGGAAGAGATTCAAGCTTTAGGCCATATGTGTATATGTGTATATGTCCTAAAGCTTGAATGATTGAACTCCATCCTACCAGCCCACAAGATGACCCCATTGAGCCCTGACTCCTGGTACTCATATCCTTGTGTAGTCTCCTCCCACATTAAACAGGGCCAACCTGTAAAACCTATAGGCTATTAAAGGAATGACAGTGTATGACTTCCAAGGCTACATCATAAAAGACATTTGATTTCCACTATGTTCTTTCTTGGATGCTTGCTCTGGAGGAAGTCAGCGGACATGCAGTGACAACACTCAAACAACCCTACAGAGGGGTGCTCCTAGCAAGAAACTGAGGCCTCCTACAAAACCCGTGAGTGACCACCTCCAAAGCAGCTCTTCCAGCACCAGTCCAACCTTCAGGTGACTGCAGCCCCAGTCAACATCTTGATTACAATCTCATGAGATTTCAAAGGAGGCTGTTCCTAGATCCCTGACCAACAGAAACTGCTGAGATAATACGTGTTTATTGACGTCAATCACTAGGTGTGGGATAATTTGTTACTATGGCGATAGATTACAAAATGGTTTTTTTCCCCAAAAACAGTAATAGCAAAACAAATGAACAGACCCATTTTAAGTTATTTATGAAATTGAAAGGCTCTGCAGTTGCTAGCTCTTAATGAGGCCTTATTTCAAGAAATTTGCCATTTAGTTCCTTGTTTCTCAAAGTGTTGTACCAAGACCAGAAATGCTGATATTCCCTGGGAGCATAATTATTAGAAAGGTAGAATCTCAGATTCTACCCCAGACCTACTGAATCAGAACCTACATTTTATGAGATTTCCCCAATGCATGTATGTACACCACAGTTTGAGAAGCAGCACTGACTCATTTGAATCTTAATGTTACGGTGTAGAGTTGGCAACCCTGACTGTACCTTAGAAGCACTTTCAAAAAATACAGTTGGAGAAGTCCATCCCAGAAATTCTATTTGGGCTGGGTTGAGGTCTATCATGGCCACGGACCTAATTATATTGCAGAATTTTCCCTCTGGAAAACTGTATTGAAACCTCAGGTCAGCCCTGATTTCCCTGCATGCTCTAGTCCTGGTCCTAGAAGTCAGATATGCCCAGTTGTGTCCGTGAGTCCACTGAGTCAGAGTCTTCTGGAGCATTCTTTGCATGGGCAGCTTCACAGCTGAAGAACTACTGCATGTATTTCTGCCTTCTTATTGGTGCTCTTCCAGGACTCAGTTCATTCCAAGAAAAGTATCCATGTTCTTACCTTACAGATCGGTTTGAATTTGCTCTCTAGAGCCACTCAGAGAACCAGGTGCTGAATAACCAAACGCTTCAGGGTAACTTGTCCATCTGTCAGATGAGGACCAAACTTCCTTCACTTACATCTGTTCCGGACGGCAAAATGGAAGTAACTATTTCTCATAAGCCTTTGGAAAATAGGCTTTTATTGTTGACCAGATATTACTAAATTAAGACTTCCAGTACAATGGGTGCTTACAAATGTCAAACCCATTACTTAATAAGCAGCTCAAATTGACAGCAGTATCACTTGAAGGTAAAGCGCGTGGGGGTGCAGGGGTTATCTGTTTCCTTTACTAATGCATCCCCAGTGACAGACAATGCCTGGCACATTGCATGCTTTAATAAACGTTTGTTGACTTAACAAATTCCTCAAAAAACAATAATTTCTGATCATTCATTCATTCAAAGTTACTGGATGTACTGTATTAGCGAATCTGCAACGGAAATTGTTTGATCAAAGGATTTTTAAACAAAGCTCCAGATTTCCTTTTAAAAATAAATTGTGTGTCCGAATTCAATGCCAGGTTTCGGATTCCTGCCGTAGCTTGGCCTCGGCTCCTCATTTGGAGGCTGGCTAAGGGATGTGATCCCTGCCCTTGAATCTCCTTCCTTTGT